TGTGGATCTAGGTAAATCTGTCATACACTCTTCCTGCAAGAATATGTCAATAGCTCTGTGGGTTCAAATGTCCACAGTGATAATGTACGACTGTACAAGATAGCACTATGAGGCTCTGACATGTGGTCCCCATTGCACGTTCTGACATTATTGCTTATTATTGCACAGATGCATGTCATGTAAGGTCAGGTGACCAGTGTTCATCAGTTTTCATTGTTCATTGTGCAGTCTGTTAGCAGCACAGAGGAAAGTCTTGTGAAAGCTCTCCTTCACACAGCGAGGGTGGATCACAGAAGCTGCTCTCCAGAGCAGGCAGTGTCCTGCAGGGGGTGACAGTCATGGTCCAGTTATAGATGTTGACTTGTTCAGGACCCTCAAGATTCAAGGAACACAATGCACTCTTTGGTCTCCAGAGAGACTTCTGTGGACACCACCATCACCTCAGACTTCCCAGTGTTGATGAGGAGGTGGTTCCTCTGACATGAGTCCAAAATGTCCTGTTTTAATACATGGAACACTTGATGCAAATTTGTCACACACTATTGTCTCAGCTAACACATGACGAGTCAAAACTGCACACATTGAACATTGACTTTATGTGAGGTTTTGACATGCACAATTATGAACTGGGAAATTAAACACAGCCTGACAAGCACTCCAGGGAAGGAGGAGAAAAAACACAACTGTGTACTTTTACAGAAATTGTATTGTGATTGCGAATATAAAAAACTATGTCACTTCACTCAAAATGTGAATAAGACTCAAATTTTTTTGAAACTACTAGAACTCCCAGAGCTGTAACTTTGACAGCTCCCATTCAAATTAATTGAATTCTACAGTTTTTGCGGGTAGATATTAGTAGTAAGTAATTGGCCTTCAACTTAAATGCATGCTCAAACCTAATAATATAATATAATATGAATGAAATATAGCAAAACTAAATGACAACTGCTGCAAGTGAACGGCATGTTACTATGGTAACTCGCACTTGCTCTAAACCAGTCTTGGATCGAGATAATTTCATAAACCTTTCATAAACTTGATAACATAGAAAAAAACTTCATTTAGATACAGAAAAAGTCACAAAGTTATGAATACGAAAAACATACATAATCGGAGTAGCTGCACTTAAAAAAAAAATAGCTCTGGTCCTAGTATTAATGAAAAGACAAACAATTATCGAGCACAGGTTCAGGAGGGAAGTCCAAATACAAACATGTATACAACAATATTGTTTTTAATGTTGTAAAACAATAGGTGGAAGAAAGTATTCAGTTATGCTAAACAATGTGTGATGGCTGCTCTGTGCTGAGTGTGACGACAAACTAAGTTCACTCTCTTGGGCCATATTGCAGAGTTTAGTCCTAAATTAAGCATTTTTCATCAAGAAAAACTGTAAATAAATATGAAGTCTTCTACGACTTGGAAAAAAGAACACAAAAACTTTGCTTTTTCGCAAACTTAAAAGTAATAGAGGTCAGGATAATTATTGATGACACCACAAGGTTGTGAAATTCCCTTCTCTTATTGTAGCGTTCATTCATAGTATCATATCTAACTTAAAGTTGAATTGTGTGGAAGTGTGAGGAAACTGTTAAAATCTTTTGAAGCTGTAAGCAATGTTTATCTTATATAGCGCATTTTACAGACCAAGGTCACCCAAAGTCACAATGTTCAGATATTGTTCCAATCATTCCACACACGGTGATGACAGAAGCGAGTCGCCGAACACACTGGTGCCTCAGCCCCCAATCAACACCATTAATTCACTCTCTCATTTACATTCATATCTATTGTGCATGTTTTTAGTGGTAGGGGAAACCGGAGCACCCGGAGGAAACCTTCGCAGACACGGGGAGAACATGTAAAATTCACTCAGAAAGACCCTGTTCCGACTGGGATTTGAACTCTGAACCTTCTTGCTGAGAAGCGAGAGTGCTATCCACCCAGCCACCGTGCCGTGCCGCCTGTAAGTAAAATCTGTATCTACTGGAGATGTCATTCTAAGCCTGTTACACAATCTATTCAAAGATAGAGATGCTCATCGTAATTATAGACAAGAGGAGGAAACAAAAGATATATGTAGAATATGAATGTGAAATTTAGTGCATGAGCTTAATATTTGGAATGAATTAGCAGGGGATTCAGAAACATGGCCAAACACATTTAGAATAATAAAGAAAAAGGCCACCAGAATGTCAAAGTCTGAATCTGCCCCCATACAAACTGCACCGACAGATTGTGGCATGTGCACATTGGAGTATATAGGCTTCAGAGTTTCATGCATACAACTATACGTAAATATCAACAAAACCTTCTGCCCACTTAGACATATCCATGCAATGTCAAACAACAGGGTGCACATGTGCAGATGGCTTTAGCATCCTTTACTGCTCCACAGACACAGCTCTACATCCAATTAATTTTTTTTTTCTGGGCATGACAGGCAGCAGACACTTCCCTTTTTGCTTCCTCTTATTTAATTGCCTTAATGTGACTCAAACACATGTCCAGCAACACTGACATCTTGTGGTCGTTTGCCTCTAACACGGCCCACATTCACTCACCAAAGAATCTGATTGAAAGCAGTGGAATAACTAATCCAAGGTTCAATTTACTGTAAGAGGCAACTTCAACACTGCTAGAATGATAAACAAATAACACTGATTATGCATTGACCTTTTTAGAACGTTTGACAAATAACACTGAGACAAATGTCCTCCCTGCAGAATACTCATATGTGTCTTGCTCAAGGACACAATGACAAGCACCATACACAAAACCTAAACCCCAGATCTTACCATTGCATATAGTCATCAAAATCAATGCCCTCATGCACTTGAAAAAAAGGCCTGAATGCAATTTGAATAGTGTATATACTGCATATTGGTTAGTATGTTGCCTTAAATTTGGCATGTGTTTATGGCCACATCTGAAAAGTGCTTTAAAACTATTTTAGGGGGAACATATATATTTATAACTGACAATGTTTAAGGCTGTCACAGAAAAAGTTAACAGTTATTTGTTGTATCTCAATTGTCTCCATTAACAACAGTCCTAGACAACTCTGAACGGTTGCATAAAATAATATATTCTTGAACAAAAAGTGTCCAAATATGTCACTATAGGTGGTATGATAAATGCAGCGTGCATGTAATTGTGAAGATAAAAGCTCTTGGCCACATCCATGAAAGCCCGTAGGTTCTCCCCCCATTGCAAACAGCATTCTTATGATAATGGAATAATGCTGGTGCTTTAGTTAATTGTGTATAGCCGATAGTGGTGGGCACCTTTTGTTGGAGCTCTCGTGCGCCTTAGGAAAGGGCTGGCAGGGATTAAACTCTATGCACAACTTGTAGTCTGCAAAAACACAACTTTCTTTGCCTCTGCGTCACGTAGGGTGAATCATGCACGCATATTATCAGACCTTACACATACTGGTGAAAACATGTAGACAATATAAACATAATCAAAACGCATACTGCTGTAGCTCCAACAGCCCATCGAGTTAGCTTTAAATAAACAGTGGAAAGACACGACAGTATGGATATCCATTAAATGTAACTCAATTCAGGTGTATTATTGAAAGTGGAGCAGCTGCGTCCAATGAAGCTGTAATAACAGGCTATACGCGCGGACTGCAGGCGCAATGTTGGTAACGGTGAGTATAGCACAAGTTCTGTCTGATACTTTCATAAATATGACCAAACGATGATGACACTTCGTTTATACTTTGATTTTTGATGAAACTGTGCTTGTGTTCCTCAGTTAGATGAACGCTGTAACTTTGAGCTACTTTCACGCTAGCATGCTGGTCCTGTCCACAGGTGCACGCTGCGCACGGCCACGGAGGGACCCCTGAGTCCCCCTGAGTCCCCCTGAGTCCCCCTGAGTCCTCCTGAGTCCTCCTGATGGACACTGGACACATCCCCCGGAGAGAATTCATGTACAAATACAGTTTTATATTGCCGATTGTGTTTTCCCGGTAAAATGTTCGGGAGGAATAAGCACTAGTTCGGCGCGGGACTGGGTTTGGAGATGCTTGTCATATAGCAGTTTAGCTAGGTTAACGGTTAGGTTAACGGTTAGGTTAACGGTTAGGTTAACGGTTAGGTTAACGGTTAGTTGGCACCGTCTCCCAAACAGTCAATAAAGAGCAGAAACTTAAATCTACTTCATTCAACAACAATTGAATGTGGGTCACGTACTTTTTTCCCCAGATGAAAATCTCTGGTATCATTCTAATTCATAGTCTACAAGATCAACTTAAACTAACTTTTGCCTTTTATTCCTTCAAGTTATGTTGATTTCGAAATAACTCATCAATTCAGCCAATATTATATAATACTTGGCTGAAATAGAAAGTATGAAATTATATTGTTAATGATTATATGTTTTCTGGCTTATTGATGTGAACAGTTAGTCGACTCAGCAGATCTGTATCATGTAATACCTCCAAATTATGTATAATAGGTTTCTGACAACATTATTAGACTACTCCGTTTTTTGTTGTGCACAACCTCATGGTACTGTGGGCATACCCAATACCATTATGTATGAATTTGCTAAAGTGCTAACTTTAAGATGAGTAACATCATAAATCAATGTAAAACTAGCTGTACAGCAACATGTGATTGTGGTAGATTGGTTGGCATTACGTACATTAACGCGTATCTGGATGTAGTAAATGTGTTTTTCACCCATTTCCCAAAGATGTTGTAACTGTGAATTAACATTTCTTTAGTTTGTGCATTCAGTGCTGTGCAGGCCTGTTCCATTATGCGTCGCGGGCACTTGAGTCCAGTGCACCTCAATGCGTGCGTTTTGGTGTCTGAATCTACACGACTAGCGTGGCTATAAATACTCGGATGCGCTAGTGCTTCACTTTATTTGTTATACCTTCTGGTTTGCTCTCTTTTAGTGTGGTTTCGTGTTTATACGCCTACAATTCAGGCTGAAATCAGACGTAAAGCTTGCACCTTTGCGCAGAGACTAGTTCTATGCTGAGAGGATCCACTGGGTGCACAAAGACAGCCACTCGCGGAGGAACTTGTTCAGAGTGGACCGGGGACGCTGCGAGGCGAGATAAACAATCCCTGGACTCGTGGCCACGATCTCACGGCTTCGCCTTTCAAACACAAGATTCAAACATCCATCCAACAAATATAAGGTAGGGCTTTGTTTGAGTGCTTTTGCGAGAGGCTGTGTGGCTGTGGAGCGGAGAAACCTCCTTCGCTTTGGCTGTGCGAGCGTGGTTGTTTTGCAGAAAATGGCGTCATCGCCCTCTTGTTTCAGCCTGGCTGCTATGGGGAAACGACTACTTCCAGAGACTTATATCGGCCACTGTGTCATTATCTGGCCTCATTTATGGTACATTTTGATACAAGGGTGTGTTATCAACATTATTAGATGCTAAAAAGCACGCGGTGTACGCGGATTCACCCGTTAGAAGGACGCGCAAAGATGGAAGGGTCACCGGTCCTGTGCGTCAAGCTGCCTCTTGGAAATAGTGGCACAGATCCGCAAAACGCATCGTTTTACACCCTTCCTAAAGCCTTTCGTGTGTGTTTATAGATGATCGAAATGACCCAAGGTGGTTATGTGTTGTCCCTGACGGCGAATGATGGGTTTAGAGGTGTGGAGCACCTTGCCTTATTATTTGTTTTATTCGGGTTAGCTTGGTTTTACGCCGTACTCTCCTGGCATGCTGCAAACGTTATCGAGGGGCCTCTCTTTAACGACATGAAAGGTGCATTTTGTACTTCGCTTTTCTTTGATCAAGCTAAGCTGCCCCTTTGTCGCTGAAAAAGTGCCGTTTTACGCGGACAATATAACCGTGTAAAAGGAGATTTTAGGGGATAATGGAAGCAATGCAAATTGTGCCATGAGACCAGCGAATGCCCTGCGCTCTGTCTCACTTGTCGTCAGATGAGGACAGCTTGAATAATATAGAGATAAAAAGGTCTTTTTGGTGAACCACATAGTTTGCACAAAACTAAGGAAGTCCAGCGCTGCGCAATGGATGTGCCCGTACCGCTGCCTTGCGCGGAGCACTGAGGCAGCTGCTCTAACCGTCTTCACCCTGATATTGTGTGTGTGTTGGCCAACCTTTTTAAATAGTTAGAGACCGTTGGGTAAAAGAGCACAATAGTATACATGCCGGCCCATTATGGCTTGTGAATCCAGCCCTGAGTCCCACTCGGACTGTCCTGTCTTTCCCTGTGAGCTACGTGCATGCGTCCTCGCTTTGGCCACCACTCATCCACCATAGCGAGGCCACTCGCTTCTCATACGCTCCGTGGTTCCTGCCGTGGCCAAAACTTGAGCCTTCGTTGTGAGCATACGTTCAAACACACGATCCAGCTACATATAAAAAATGATCAGGGCACAGGTCCACATCGCATCGTCCACTCTGTGCAAATTTTTGTTAAGTTTCGCGAGTTATGCAATCGCATCCTCGCAGAGCGAACTGCTCATCCGCCTATGTTCGTCACCAACACGCGAATTGATATGTAAACATGGATTATCAAGAAGGGGAGAATTCCCTGTGGCAATGGGGATAATTTAAGAAGATATGTCATTTGCAAATCACCCTGTGCCATTTGCGTCACAGCCAACAGCCTCGCACGCCCATGGGGGGCGATGGAGTTGCAAGCGGAGAGAGTGACGCTGCCCCAGCTCTTAGGAGCCAATAGAAGCGAATCCGGGCGGCAACTATCTCCGTGCGCTGTCCCTCTCCTCAGCTCAACCGTAGTTTTGCCGCGAAGCGGATGATCTTTGGATCATTTTGAAGCAAGCGTTGTTCGCCATCCCAGAGATGCGTAAGTGGAGGCACTCGCACTGGCTGGACCAAGTCAGGGCTCGACAGGCTCGCCCAGGTCCCTGTCCCGCGTGGTCCTTGGAGCATGTGGCTAATTGTTCGAGTGTAGATGAAAGGCTCCCGCATTTTTGTGGCTGCATTAACCGTTAATAATAGATGGATGCATGTACCGTTGCATGACGCGCAAGGCGTCTTTGGTTAGCTTTTGCTTGAATCTCACATTGTGCGTTCTGGTTTATCCACAAGAGCTCATTCACAAGACTGACAGAGTTCCTGTCAGCGCTCCATCAGCGAGTGATCAGTGTATTATGTCTCACGCTGTCATTGAAATGATTTGCAATTCAACCACGTGGTGTATGAGAATACTAATAGTGGATCTAATGTGGAGTTTACTGGCCCAATGGAAAACGCTGGGGTAAATAATGTACTCAGCCTTCTCTGATGGCAAGTGGTATACTAAAAATAGTTTATTCAAAATATTATTGTTAAATAATGACAATCTACAACGTAGATACATTAATGGACATACATTTTGAGTTAAATTCAGGTCGTATGTAATGTATATCTTTTAATGTATGTTCCACTATGTTGTTGTTTGTCATTCATAAAGTAATTTGAGGATAGTGAGTCATTCCCAACCTGGGGATCTAAATGTTGGTCCTTGATATCCTCAAGGGGTTCCTGCCGGTTCTTACAAAATATTTCCAAATTTAGTATGTGTTTTTTGATGGGCTGACTATAATTGATTTCTAATCATGATAGTTCCATAACGCAATATTTCTCAATTAGAAAATTAAAATTTTGAAATTGAGTTGGATATATATTTTGAGGTTATAACCATATTCAAGCCATATATTTATATTTTGTGTTATCAGGCCATTTGAACTATGTTATCTTCTGAGGGTCATTCACAAGCCTTTGTCACACTTCAACTCTGCTCCAATATTTTTGTATCTTTCCTCAGATCTGTGCCTTAATATATAAATATTTATATTTTTATAAATGTATAAAAAGTCTACAGACCGTTCCTTAAGCCATTTGACTTGTTTTATTCTTCTTTGACAAAGAGTGTGAATTATTTTTTGCCACTTTGACTCACAAGGATCTTTTGCAATAAAAGAATGCAACAAATGAAATGATAAAAATACGTTGAAGACAGCCTTGTTCACAACCTTTTACTTTTGGGCAAAAACTTGGGCACAACTAACATGAAGGGAAAATGTAGGTACTCCACCTTTAATGAGTTTTTTTAGATAAGCTTCAGGATGAAACAGGTCTGTTTCTTGCAGCATTTAATTTGTACAGCTGTAAAAATGTGCACTTGTCCATGGAATGGACCTGATGTGCGCTGGTCGTCGCTGTTAAAGCAGCCGCTCTGTGCGCTCATCGCTGTTAATGAACCTATGGCTAGTTCCCTTCTCTCCTGATCACTACCAGGGGAAATGCTCCATGAACAAGTGTCCTCTCTGCATTTGAGCGACACAGAGTTCACATTGTACTGAGCCTGAATATCAAAGCTACAGTGCATTAAATCACCAATCATCAGTCTTCTGATCCATATAAACTCCTCACTAACTGCATGTAGTTTGTAAACTAGGATATTTTTTTCATTGTCTTTCCTGTTTAGAGCGATCTGAACTGTGGCGGTTGATCTGATGCATACAGGTCGACAAGATCCTCATTGCAAAATGTTGTGAGTGGACATTGGGGATGTGTGTCGCTATCATAGTGGGCTACTGGTAGGCCTGCCCCAATGACTACTAGAGGGTATTGAAAGTAGATTGATGAGAACAACAGTGTTAATTTTGACAAGAAATAATAATTTTGTTTTAGGGTGTATTCAGACCAGAAAAGTCCTTTGGTCTGCTTGCTTGGTCCGAACCAAAAACGGACCAAACATTTTTCTTTTGGTCCGGTTCGTATTCAGTCTGTACTTTTTGTTTGCTCTTTTTAGAGCAAAACGGCCGCATTTTTGTGTGTCTTTTCCAGAAGTTGAGTTCTATGTGCCTCTGCCGAAATTTCAAGGAGGCACAGTGTCTCCTTGTTGCTCCAGGTCTGCCCACGGCTCATTGTTGTTGTGTAGCATGCGTTAGCAGCTGTGACGCGTGGATAATTCCTCACAGTTTCTGTCTACGGCTTGTTAAGCCCAAAAAATGCACACATATCCTGGAGTTGTGTCGGATCGACACCGGTTGTATTCAGACCTGAATCGACTCGGACCAGAGTTCGTCTGGAAGCGGACCGAGACTACCTAAAAAAAGTGGGTCTCGGCCCGGTTCTTTGGTCCGGACCAGGATTCCTTTGTGTGTATTCACACCTCCGTAAAAGGTCCGGATCAGAGTTCCAAACGAATCCTGATCCGTTTAAAGTGGAGCAAATGTGCAGGTCTGAATACACCCTTAGTCTTAGTCTTAATAATATCATTGTAGATCAACTGTAGATGTCTCAGAGGCACCATATATTGTAGGCACTTAAGAGTGTTTTTTCATTTTTTTAGTCCACATGATGGCGTAAGAGCAAATTAACACCTCGAGGCTTCCAAACCATGTTAATGCTGCGATGCCTCTTCACGGAGCTTCATATTGCCACCTGGCGGCACGGTGGCTGAGTGGATAGCACTCTCGCCTCTCAGCAAGAAGGTCCTGGGTTCGAATCCCGGCCGGACCAGGGCCTTTCTGAGTGGAGTTTGCATGTTCTCCCCGTGTCTGCGTAGGTTTCCTCCGGGTACTCCGGTTTCCCCTACCACTAAAAATATGTACAATAGGTCTGGCATGCGCCTCCTGTTCGGCGACCCCGCTCCCATCTCTGTGTGGAGTGAGAGGACAAGTGCCCAAAAATAATAACAATTGTAAACCGCTTTGTGACTCTGGTCTGTGAAAGGCGGTATATAAATAAAGCTTACTTACTTACTTACTTACTCTTATTTTCTTCTTTGTCAAACGTAAAAAAGGCCCACAGATATCCTCTTCTTTTTTCTCCCAGTCGTGGACATGTTCTTGTTCTTTTCATCACTGATGGACACTTTACAATCTTACGTGAGTACCGTGGTGTTGTGGTTAATGTTAGCAATAGCATTCCAACAATGCCCATCTATTTTGGAATTAGTTTTGTTTTAGTCCCCAAAAATATATTCCAGCTTCAGCGGTGTGTTTGCATGCACAGGTTACTCACAGGTAAGACACGCACACAACATGCAGAGAATAGTTCTGCACATGTATGGTCTTGGATATGGCCAGTGATGGCGGCGCCGTTCACCGTGTTGTTGTTAGCGGCTCACAGCCACGCAGCTGCCCTGGGTCACAACGCTGCAGGAGGATGCGGACTCCTGATCAGTTCATAGCAAGTAGCAGCAAGTGCCTCACGGTCACGCGTGTATTCTTTCAACTTGAATTCCCATAGACCTGCTGTGATCTGTTGCCATCTCACACACGCACGTGTCCGCGGCATTCTGAGTGATATTATGGGATGCATGGGCATCGGACATGCGTCAATTGCGTTCATTCTTTTAACGCGATTAATGAAAAAAAATAATTAACGTGCATTATCGCAATAATTTTGACAGCCCTACAATATATATAATTTAATTAATTAGACTTAACAACACAAAAAGTAGAAAAAGTGTAGGGAGTAAATTATGAATGCCCCTGACGTCCTCAGCTCAGTCATACTTACTGAGAATTCCTACCCGATGGTGGATGACGCAAATTTACCGTCATTTACCAAGCAAAACTCCACCATGGCAGAGGTTACCACCAGCTCACCACATCTACCTGTCCTACTACTGCTCCTTGGATGTGACCACTACTGTTGGCCACATGTTTTGGACATTGTACAGACACGTCTTTTAAAAAGATTTACCGTCTTAACATTGTCAAACTGGCTATTGGGTTGCAGATATGTAGGGCTGCGGCTCACGATTAATTCAGTGATTGAGTTATCATCAGTTTAGGCCTCCATACCAACATTATCACACTGTATAGAAACTTATTAAACCTCATTTTAAGGCTAATTCTCTCAAGAAAATATCCTTGCACTTTATTGTACCTGAAACATTGAATGCAAACGCAATAGTTAATTCCATAGATATATTGCATTACATTTCCCTATCCAAAGATAAATTCAAAACTTGAAAATCTACCAGAAAAGAATATTAAATCTCCTGTCAAAGGAATCCTTTAAAGATATACCTCCATATTATAAATGTATAGAAAAAAACACACACATATGCAAAATTAAAAGATTCCACTAGAAGACAATGGGTTCTTTAGTATATAAAAAAACACCACTCTAGCAAAAAATAATTATTATTTTTAAGAGGGGTGTCACGATTTAGATTTTATAAAATAAAAATCGATTAAAATTACGACATGATCTTGATCAAAGAGAAAAAAATTAAATCAAAGAGGATCGACAATCACCTCCCGCCAGGTTTACATACATCAGGGAGGTGTGCAAAGATATGACGACGTGCATCAAATTCACTTTTCATGCTTATTAAAAGTGAATTTGATTAAACTTATGATTAAATAAAGTGCATGTGAAAAGTAAGCGTATGCTGAAAAATGCATTGAGGCCAAAGTGCGAATGCCATGTGAGCTACCCATCATGCCTTTGCGTTCAACTGGTATATTGCAATCGAACACCTCTGAACTAGTATGAACATGAATACAAGTGCAACATAGTTGTGTACAGGGAGCTTTCAAGTAACTCAATTAAAATGGGCTGCTTAGAGGCATATCAATTAACAAGGGGCTTTTGTGTGTGGATTTTGCTTGTTCTCTCCATTTTGTTCAAATATCGTTTTTCCAAGACTCAGCCTAACCACTAAAGCCCTTCTATATTTTACAAACATGTTCTGGAATCATGCATACTAGTTTTCATTACTCCAGTCCTGACCGATAGAAGGCAGGTGCAATCGCATATATCACAACTGGGAAAATAGTATTGATTATTATTATTATCAGGGCTCGACATAATGATTGTTCGCTTGCCCGGAGCAACTAAACATTTGGGACGGACATAGCAAGTGATGTATTACTTTAACCCATTCTTCATCTTTTTGACCACTTCTCTTCATTGGTAAATTCTCTGGACCAATGAAATGCATCAGGATAAACCAGGGATACAACATTTCTCGGAATCCGCAATTTACGACTTTTTACCGCTGGAAATGTATTTTCTGTGTAATGTGTTCGCAGGCACATTCTGTTGTTTTCTGTACCCAGGGCAGCTGTGGCCGCTTTATAACGACAGCCGCTTTGACAACAGCTCAGCGAACGCACATCTGTAACGTGGTACCAAGCGCGGACCATAGACGCGCGGACGGAACCATCCCCAGCTTGTTGGAAGTGCAAGTCTCCCCCTTGTCTCCTATACCGAAGCACAACCAAAACTCACCAAATTTAAGCACGGGAACCGACATTTTTATTTGTATTAAAAATGCATGTTGGTTGTGCACAAAAGTAAAATGTTGTGAACAAATCAAACAGCACACACCACAACAGGCGTCTTGCTTTTTTTTTTTTTTTGCATAATTAAGAGCCCTGTGAGTCATTATTTTACGTTTTGGGCTTTTTGGCCCGCGTGGTGATGTAGCCTTTTGCCAACTTCGAGGTGAACAAAAGCTAACTGTACAGCTTTTTCCTGAGCTTTTTGAAGCCATTCAAAAAGGAATGGCTTAGTCTGTAGTTACAGACTACAGAGAAATTTCAGACCTGAGAAGAATTTTTTTCCAACAATGGGAATCTGTCACATAGAGCCCAATTCCTCGATTCAGAATCAAACCCTAGTTATTTAGTTCACAGTGACGTACGGAGAGTTGGTTGCACTGTACTCACAGACTGAGATTGTTGGCGTCTATTTTGTTGGAAATAACACCAGGTTTCCAGATCAGCTTTTGAGGAGGTCCTAGCGGTAGTTTTGGAAGAGTCTTTGATGGTGTCACAGTCACTCTCCTTATTCTCTCTCTTTGGACCAAATTAGAGCCCTGCACGAGCCTATTATCTGGGCCCGAGCCCGGTCCTCATCAGGTCCCGGCGCGGCCCAACATGGTTTCTGAATTCTCAGGCCCAAACCCATATCAAGTCTGACTTTTTGTTAACCTCCCATAACAATGTTTTAGCGTAGTATATAGTGCCACGCACTGATATGAACACAGGCCCAGCTAGTGGGCAGAGTTATACATGGTAGTGATGTGTTGCAATGAGTTCTGTGTGTACAGAGTGAATGGCCGCAGCTGTATGGTACCCAGATGCCGCAATAAACTACAACACACTTGAAGGTAACGCTACGTGTCGTTAAGGCTGGGCGATATGGCAAAAAAGTAAAATCTCGATTTTATTTCCTGCTTTGGACGATTTTGATTTTAAATCGATTTTCATGAAAGTCACAGAAGACAGACTTTGCCCTTTTGTTCATCTTTCCACAATATTCAAGTTTCAAAACTATTTTAAATTTGTTTCCCCCAATACGTATTATAAAAGTCTTGTACACACTGTGCTGATATTGCAATTAGAATTGATGTGCAGCTGGAACTCTCACAATATCCTTCATCCGATTTCACGATTTTCACATGTTTCACAAATTCGATTTTTTTTCAAATACTACAGCGTGATAGAACGCTATGTTCAGTAGGTGCGTTTGTAAATGTAATCTGGCGCTCTGGAAATGAATAAATAAAAGTGCCCGGCCCGTGTCCAAGGTAATTATACGGTCATCGGCCCGAAGCCCGGTCCTCGGGCCTAGGGCTCAAGTGCAGGGCTCTCGGCCAAATACTCTCGTCACATATTTACACCAACAACACATTTTCTCCAAGCTGACATGAAGTTAACACAGAAACGCACAGACGTGTGATTACAGTCTGTGGACCACAAGCTGGACTCTGAGAGAGACTGCATGGGCTGACCATAGATGGCGCTGATTCATTGGTTCAGTTTCTCTCTGCTGTCAATCACCTCTTGGAGGCGGGCTTTTGACATCACGTTTTGAAACGAGCCGTTTCTGTGTCTCTCAAGAATGAAAGAGAAAGATCGCTCTCTAACTAAAGCTTGAGGGAATCAATGCAAAAAACTACTCTGGGCATGTGTATGAAGGCCAAATAGCACTGTAATCAAGTTTAAATTCCTATTTAAACATTAAATAGGAATCATAAAATATAATTTCACATAGAAACAATTTATACCTTCAGTTAGTTCCATAGTTGTTTGTAGTTTTACAAATGAACTATACATAGTCAAGACCACAATATTGTCATTGAAGCATTTTTGCTTCGAAACATTCTGACACGTTTTTTGTCATCTTTTGTCATTTTTTTATGCATTAATGTGAATAAGGGTGTACTACCCATGCAACCTTACATGTAAGTTGCTATGTTGTTAAAATGTTATTTTACTTTGTTATAGTGTCATACAATACTCATAAAGAGATGTGCACAAAAAAAAAACAAACAAACAAACAAAAGAAGCATAAATAAATTCAATATCAAGTCTCTCTGTCGCCCTCCAGTGGTCATAGAAACACTTCTTGAGCTATCAAAAACCTTTCCATTCCCATCCCAACACACAGTGCATGTGTACAGTTACTTGTATTTATTATGAACTTTAATCTATTATTGCGTCATGTTATTTATGACTTTAGACAAAGCATAATTTTGCTCATTAAATTTACTATTTTGTTTGTGATCATTTGCTGCTCTATTTTTTTTTTTTTTACATACTTAAACAGGCTGTATTAAATGTATGCATTTGTGAAAATAACCGGATTTGTGTGTTTCTTTTAGAGAAGCAAGCTATGTAAAATTGTAGAGATGCACCGATACCACTTTTTTCAAAACTGATACGAGTACCTTAACTTTAGTACTAGCCAATACCGAATACAGATACGAGTACTGCAATGCGTTATCCTTGGGTATTCGTAAAACTAATACAACTGAAATGTATAATGTCTAATTGTTCTCATTGCAACTGTAAGAAATGCTTTTAACAATGAAACATTTTAGCAATTGTTTTAACAGTTAAAAATAAGAGCCACTGTCATATTCCATTCATGCAAATGGTACAACGAAATAGCTGCCATCCTTTCTTGCTTCTCCAATGTTTGTTGTAGAGTTGGATTTGACCTGTGGTAAGACTGTGTGACTCACTAGATCTGTGTCCTGAGATTTGATTTTAAAATGTCTTAACCCTTTTCTTTTTTTACTTGAGTACATGAACATGTGTCTGTGAACGCAGTGGTTCATATACATGTCTCACATGTTTTGTTTTTGCAGGTCTGTTCAGGTGAACTGTAGAGGTCTGCTTTTAGCATCATGGTGAGGTCCCATAAATCTCCTGCGAGGAAGAGCTGTCCCTCTGTCCGCAGACAGGTATGTTGTGTTTGTTGTAGTATTGTATATTATACTACTTTGTGGCATTGGTATTGTGTTTACTTATAAAAGCTAAACAAAAAATGAATGGCTTGTTTAAGTTAACAAAACAAACGATACTATAGTACATTTACAGTATTTTGCTTAGTTGTTCTAACTAAACACAATGCCTTTATTATAATATATCATATAATTTATATCTAAATTATATCTATCTCTATTTTATTTATTATTTAAGATATATATAATACATTATATGATATAATAATATCATATAATTTATGATATTTATCTTTCATGTGTAGGGAACGATTGATTTGGATCTTTTGGAACCGGTATAGATTTTTTATATTTCTGCTCTGCCAATTAACTAGCCTGGGTCTTACCACATTATTGTACTAATTTCATTTCGTACTATGGTCTGGATTTGCTCAAGCGAGCTCAGTTAACAGGTGGGAGGGTTTACCCTTTAAGCGGCAAAGTCGCAATATGGCGTCAAGCAACTTTGATGAATAAAACAGGCTGTATTTTTATATGTGGTGCTGAATCTTTGTAACACTTTTCACCATGAGTGATTGGATATGTGTGCCTTTAATCTAAACTGCATTTTCTGGGTGTGGTCATTTGAAAAGTGTTAGAGTAAAACAAGTTTGTAAAACACCTGCAGCGCAGTGACGTGGAGGGGAGGCAGGAGCAGTAGAGCGAGAGCGGAGCGAGTTTAGTTTATTTACCGTTGACAAAGTGCTTGGTCAGGTACTGGCTCACTCAGATTCAGAGGAGGAAGCATGAAGGTGTACAGTGAAGCAGACACTCACATTATTAGTGACGGGGAGACCGCGCTATAGTCCACAATCGGCACACCGTACAGTGGATGCTTCACCTCTGCGGGGCCGCAGTTGGAGCATTCTGCAAAAACCAGGCAGCGGATGTGGGCAAAGGGGTCATAGCACCGCACATGTGGGTGAATGTAGCAGGTAGGGGTGGCCAATATGGCCCAAAATTCATATTGCGGTATAATTTGGTGTGTGAATTTCAATATAGGTCTAGCAGGTTCTTGCATGAAATAGTCAATATTGTTACTTATTTAAAATGTATTGTGCAAAACTGCAATTATAGAGAACATTACAAAACTTTAACTTTTCTTAACCACATGACCAAAAGGGAACTATTTTTCTTCTAATAAATAGAAGGGAAAACGCTCACACAGGAGCTCTTATTATGAGTGATACACTATTTTTAATGCAGCGTACGCTTTGTAGAGTTTGAATGAGTCAAATTTTTTCAACAATGAGAAGGATTAAAGCCGTTATAGTGTCGACAGTGGAGTCACTCTGGTATCAACAGAAACACGTCTGAGATAATAGTTCTGATCAATAATACAATAAATAGGGCACACATGTTACTTATAACAACGTTTGAGGCGATAAATATGACCCTTTATTGACATTTCGGTGATTTGTTGAGCTGTTAATAACAAAAAGTTTGAACTATTCTCCAGGGGGGAGCTCCGTAGCGTTAAGCTAACAGCAGTAAGCTAACAGCAGTAAGCTTACAAGGGGGGCTGCAATTAGAAAATGTATTTAACAGTATTTATTTTTTCTTTCTATTGTCTCGGTTACTACAACCGTAAACCACACAAAATACTGTTGAAAGTAAGCGAAGTAAAGACTGCGGAGTGCGGACTGTCAGCTGTGTCTGCGGCCGCAGATGCTACGCAGGCTAATGCTGATGCTAACGTATTTCACCCGTTCCTTATTAGGAATTTTCTTATAATTGACACCCATTGGAAAAATAATTTTTAGCAAAGTAGAGACTCCATAAGTTCCCCACTTGATAGGAGCAGTTGCCACAAGTGCACACGCCACAGAAAAAGAGCATTTTAACTCGGAATCAGTGAATTTTTACATTGTTTTTAATGGGGAGATTTACTTCCTGTCCCTCAGAGCACTTTTGTCACGTGCAACCCAGCATTTTGATGACATAATGACCTATCGCAATATGCCGGTATACAGTAGCCTGACTCTCGCCAGACCCATGTAGTTCGCTGCACTTCACACATGAGTCTGGTACTGAGCCATAGTGGTTGGATTTCAGAAGGCAGGGCCTTGTAAAAAAATCCTTATGTGATTGGATAGACCACTTGTCCGTTATCTTGAATGAAGTCTGCTTTCAACCACTCACATCGAAGCACACGACTCCCATAGGTTGCCAAATCCCAGCAAGATTTTCCAACCCCAAATTTTTTTTGGCTAAAAACGTAATGTAATCAACTTGGGCTATCATGATTCTATTTATTGTCTTTCTGTTTATTTAGTGTCTTGGAAAAAAAATATGCGGGAACCACCAAACCTGGCAACCCTGCTGCATAGCGTGTAAACAGGAACACTGAACCAGTGCTTCAACCAAACTTTACAGGAACATTTGACTCTTAAAACACACATATATCAACATAGAACCATCTACATCTCGCCACATCCGTGTCTTAATTCGATCGTATTTACTCTTTTAAAAAGATTCGCAGACTTTACGTCCGCCATCTTGGATTCCTCTCGCTGCTGCATGAGAGAAGCTTGAGAAGGCAGTGCAAACCCCACGCAAAAAATAATCTGGGGAAGGCGTTCGCTATGGCGTCGATACCAGACCCATGTGGTTCAGCCAAACGCCTCTGGTGGAGCATGGCGGAACTACAAGGGTCTGGCAGAGCCAGGCTAGGTATACAGTGCCTTGCGAAACCTTTCAACATTTCGCCACATTTCAGGCTTCAAACATAAAGATATAACATTTTAATTTTTTGTCATGAATCAACAACAAGTGGGACACAATCGTGAAGTGGAGCGAAATTTATTGGATGATTTAAACTTTAACAAATAAAAAACTGAAAAGTGGGGCGTGCAATATTATTCGGCCCCTTTACTTTCAGTGCAGCAAACTCACTCCAGAAGTTCAGTGAGGATCTTTGAATGATCCAATGTTGTCCTAAATGACTGATGATGATAAATAGAATGCACACTATAACGGCTTTGATCCTTCTCATTGTTGAAAAAATTGGACTCATTCAAACTCTACAAAGCATACGCTGCATTAAAAATAGTGTATCACTCATAATAAGAGCTCCTGTGTGAGCGTTTTCCCTTCTATTTATTAGAAGAAAAATGTGGCAAGAAGAAAGCCATTTCTCAAAGATATCCATAAAAAGTCTCGTTTAAAGTTTGCCACAAGCCACCTGGGAGACACACCAAACATGTGGAAGAAGGTGCTCTGGTCAGATGAAACCAAAATCGAACTTTTTGGCCACAATGCAAAACGATTTGTTTGGCGTAAAAGCAACACAGCTCATCACCCTGAACACACCATCCCCACTGTCAAACATGGTGGTGGCAGCATCATGCTTTGGGCCTGCTTTTCTTCAGCAGGGACAGGGAAGATGGCTAAAATTGATGGGAAGATGGATGGAGCCAAATACAGGACCATTCTGGAAGAAAACCTGTTGGAGTCTGCAAAAGACCTGAGACTGGGACGGAGATTTATCTTCCAACAGGACAATGATCCAAAACATAAAGCCAAATCTACAATGGAATGGTTCACAAATAGACGTATCCAGGTGTTAGAATGGCCAAGTCAAAGTCCAGACCTGAATCCAATCGAGAATCTGTGGAAAGAGCTGAAGACTGCTGTTCACAAACTCTCTCCATCCAACATTACTGAGCTCGAGCTGTTTTGCAAGGAAGAATGGGCAAGATTTCCAGTCTCTCGATGTGCAAAACTGATAGTGACATACCCTAAGCGACTTGCAGCTGTAATTGCAGCAAAAGGTGGCGCTACAAAGTAGGGATGTAAATCGGTGACCGTTTAACCGGTGGTTGACCGTCACAGCGTTAACCGGTCAAAGCTGTCGGTTAAAAATAAGAAAAAGCGGAGAGGGGAGGTCTCTTAATAAGGCTATTTTAAGCCCTATTTGTACGATGTGACGAGCGGGTCCATATCTAGCTGTGTGCGCCAATGCATTAGTAGACTACGGGCGACTTTCATGGTGCACGCTCCACATATGCACGCAGCCACGCACACGCACGCGCGCGCGCGCGCACACACACACACACACACACACACACACACACACACACACACACACACACACACACACATACACATACACATACACATACACATACACATACACATACACACACAAACACTTTCCCCCCCTCCATACGTAACATCCACACGCATCATCTCTCCCCTCTGTTACCGCCAAAGTTCCACACTAGTGCAGGTCAGAACTACATTGGAGCTTATATTTACACACACATACATACATGTATTGTACACACACACATACCGGTCTGTCGCGCACCTCTATGTCTCGCAGCCCAAAGAATCCTCGCAAATACGCGGCCCCAGTCAAACACATGAAACATGTTTGTGCTGCTGGTCCTTGTCATTAGATCAGATCCACACACATCACTTTTAAACTTTAGCGGAGACCTGCGAGACGCGGCGTGTAACTCGCTGCTCTGACCATGTGAACAAGCTGTCTTTTGCTTAAAAATGCTTTAACCCGCAGCACAGAATGGGAAGATTAAAAAAGCAGTTCTCTGTGCGCAAAGGTGCCGAAGCTGTTGCGGGTTTTGGCGCCGCTGTCTCAGCTCTGATCTAGTAGAACGCATAGATAAACTTATGAAAAGTACGCGGCTCAAAATGGCTGCTATTTTAAAGAACGTGGAATATTTTAAACTACGTGGTTAACCGGTTTCAACCGGTTAATGAGGCTCGGTGGTCGGTCATGAAAATGCATAGTTTTTTACATCCCTACTACAAAGTATTAGCGCAAGGGGGCCGAATAATATTGCACGCCCCACTTTTCAGTTTTTTATTTGTTAAAAAAGTTTAAATTATCCAAAAAATTGTGTTCCACTTCACGATTGTGTCCCACTTGTTGATTCTTGACAAAAAATTTAACTTTTATATCTTTATGTTTGAAGCCTGAAATGTGGCAAAATGTTGAAAGGTTCAAGGAGGCCAAATACTTTCGCAAGGCACCGTAACAAAAATCTCTACCGTTGGCCAAATCTTTATTGCATACCGCTTATACCGTTTATACTGCCTAGCCCTAGTAGCAGGGATGGAAACAACCGCGGGAGATGCGGCAGACTCGGCGCGTGGGAAAAAAACAAATTGCCAATTGCGTTCACTGCCACACCGGTGGCTATGATAAGGATGAGGATGGAAGTAGAGGAATAATATCAAAAGTGAAAGAGAAAAGCCTGTTGTTTATTGTGAAGATGTTCTGACAAGTTCTGAGCCCATTGGTTTCATCTCTGTTTCTAAATGACAAATTCCGGAGACTAAATTCCACTGAAACAAACCAATGTGCCCTGTTCTTTGAAAGGGACATTTTGAAACCAAACTCCAGATTTCATGTCTGGTACATAATAAGCAGTGCCATCTTTATTATTGAAGGTCTTTGAAAATAATACAATTTCATATGGCTGCTGACCATTGCTCAAAGATAATATGAATTGGATCAGTGAAATTCTTTCTATGCCCAATTGTGTTTCATACTAAAGATATTTCACATTTACTGTTGACAGTTTTCTCAAACCGCTCTCAAGCCACAGCTTTTTGAAGTCTTTATACAAAAAATGGCATTTTCCAATATTGCTGCTACCCTGATGACGAAGCAACTTCCATCCCAAAATTATATAGGTTCTAAGCTTTAAAAGGACACACATAATATATGCAATATACAATAAAATACAAATACAATACAAACAATTGGAGAAAAAATATAAATAGATTGATTTATTTATTCATGCTGTTTGATATGCACAGAAAAGTACTGTTACTTTCATGGAAACTTGTTCCAGTCATTGAAATTACATTTTGATGAAGGACAAGGATGCATCATGGGGCACATAAGAGCTCTCTTGAGTACAATGGTCAATTTCTAGTTCATACATCCATGATCTGATCTCATTATTATTTTCTAAGAGGGTATCAGTTGTAAAAAAAAATGTTTAAGCCAATTTTCTGATTCCAGTTAAAGTGATGGTATGTAACTCTAAATGAATTACAAATTTTAATAATTGTAGTAAATTGACCTCCTGGCCTTAAATGTTGATATAAAATAAGTCATTTTATGAATTCTAATATTACGGGTAAGTCCTGCCTTCCCTTCTCTTAGCTATAGTTCATAATCCACGATGCCGTCCATGTTAACCAATCGAGTCATGCCAAGGGCTGTCAATCATCGGCGCTGATGCTCGTAGCTGCGCGCATGCGCAGTTGTTTGTTTTTGCGGAACCTCAGAATCCAGTCTCCATTAGGCTCTGAAACTTCATGAAAACTGAACAAAGAATTCTGAACGTCCGCGCTGAGTTACCCATTTATATACTATCTTTTGCAGGTGTGTCCTATAATGTGCAATTAATGATAATAGCTTCTTCCGGGTTTGCCGCGATCGTTTTTGTGTGCTGATAGGAATCAGACTCAGGCAAAACGGGATCTTTGTACGACAAAGCCTCCTGGCTGGTTTATTCACAAAATGGTCGTTAATTTCAGACAGAACAAAAGACACAGATACATTATATATGGAAATCTACGTCATCATAAGAAAGGCCAAACCTTCGGTACCAAATAGCCTAAACAACGAAAGTCTCTGTGGTCCTTGAGACCTCCACAAGGCCAGGTTATTAATACTATTTTTTCTTGCATTTTTCCACCTGTGCAGTACATAGGTCACTGTTTACCACAGTGCATTAAAACATATTTTTTTCATGAAAACGTTAACAAAAAATTCTGAGAACCTCCGTGCACGTGTATTAATAATGTATATGTATAATGTGTTCTCTGATTAACATTTAAAAGTGTTACAGAAACGTAGGTGTAGACCAATCAGAAAGGAAGGGAGCTTGCGTCGTTTTTTTCAAATCAAGTACCTCTCTCTCTCTTTCTGACAAACTGCAGACAATCATTTTTATGTAATGAAATCATTTACTGACATTATTTCTGATCGTCATGGTCCTCAAAGTTCTGTTGCACACAGGTCACTCATCATAACCCTTTGTGAGTCAAAAGGAAATGCGCTCTGTCACCAGGAATGGTGTGGGAATAATCCTGTGTGTGGATCACTTTTGATTCCTATTTGCTAGTTTGATCTATTGCTTTAATTGCTGTTTTGATTTTTATGTTTTGGGTCTACCAGAGTGATAGCGATCTAATGGACATGGAGACCGACGTGACCGAGCCCCCCCACACTGCGTCACAACCCAGAGAGAACACTCGGGCCTTAGACCAAAAACAGCCTCTTCCTCCCCACGCCGAGACTGGATCAGAAGCATACGAACCACTGGACGGCCCAGATGACGGCAGCTCTCTTTCAAACGCCAAGTGGAGGCCCATTCCCCCCCTGCTGCCTGAACATCACTCACAGATCGAACAAGATTCTGCGACCAAGGAACAGTGCTGTCAGACCGACGAGCAGCTTCACTATGCTGGTATTCAGCTCGTACAATTCACTCACTCGCACCCATGTTAACAACACCAGACTCCCACCTTTACTAAAAGACAAATAATAAAGTGGGGGGAGTGCAATGCTTTGCCTGTAGAATACATGTATAATAAATATTATATAATATAAATATAATAAAAAAAATGAAAGAATGCCTATGCGTACGTTGTATGCAAATGAAAAATATGTTGTTTTAACTCAATGAAATAAGCATACAATTATTTATGAATTATTTGACTATAAACTAATTCTTAAAGTGTAGGTTTATAAAAATAATATAAAAACTAAAGAAAAGCCTGCAATGTGTGCGGGAATCCAGAGGCCACACAGACCCAACAGCTCTGCTTCAGGCGGGAGTGGAAGGACAGAATGGGGGCGTGACACACACACAGGACAGAATCGGCCCATGGAGTGTGTTGATAATGCGATCTGGGAAAACCCATCACATGGTGAAATCTGACCAACTTAAGATTCTGATACCATCTTCAAGCTGCGTTCAATCTCTTTTCAAATTTGTTTTCCTTTTTTCATAGCATTTCTGTAACAAAAGTTATCATTATCTGAAGTCAGCTTATTAACATGGTTTTATGAAACAGAATTCTGAGAAAAACAGGTTTAAAGATAGACATTCTAAATAGTATCACCACAATCAACATGTTAAATTTGAATTACTCTGTTATGGCACACACTTATTTTAGTCACTATGTTGTAAAAGATAAAAACAAATGTTACTTTGGCACCAATTAAACACACAACACTCATTAATTAGATGAAAATAAATGTATTTATTCTTTTGTGTCTTTACACATTACATATGTATTAGACAATGCCAGTATTATTCAATCAAATCATGCAGTATAACGCCCTGAACGGGTGTCTATGATTCTGTCAGCGTATGGTTCTGTTCATGGTCCTGTCCAAGTGTCTATGGTCCGCGTGTCTCGCGTGTCTATGATCCGCGTGTGTCTATGGTTCTGTCTGTGCGTCTATGGTCCTGTTCACGTGTCTACGGTCCTCTCTATGGTCCTGTTCACGTGTCTACGGTCCTCTCTATGGTCCTGTTCACGTGTCTACGGTCCTCTCTATGGTCCTGTTCGCGTGTCTATGGTCCTGTCTATGGTCCACGCTCAGCTGGCAGCTGCTCCCGGGGCCAGAGCGGAGGATGTAACGTTCGATTTATAAAAACATATCACCATTTTTAATGTATAAAACTAGTGAATTTCACCTAGATATTTTCAGAAACAAAAGACAAGATGTTATAGAATAATTATTTAATGAAAACACAATTTTGCCAAAAAAATTACGATCGACCTATTTTTACTATTTACTCGGAACGTGCCAGCGCGACATACAACAGGTTTTCCCAGATCGCATCACATATATAGTTGTTAGTTGTATCAGTGCATTCCTCCTAAGAGGAATTTGCCAATGCATTGACAATATCATCAGCTATCGTTTGAATGTTTAGCACTGCCCCTCAACTCTCTCAGAGGCTTCTCATTTCCCCTACACTCTCATCCCACGGAGCCATCTAGTTTTTTTCCCCATCTGATACGTAAATCTACATTAGCATTAGCACAACTTAAGCTGTTCAACAATCACTGATGAAATGGTACAAATGCAACACACTGCTAACAAAATATATAACTGAAAGTTTACCACTAGTTCCGCGTCCGAATGTAATCCAAGCATAGATAGTCCGAGGCGGTCCTGCAGGTCTCTCCCATTGACAATACTATCCAGAGGATACGATTTATGCTAGCTATGTTCACCTGGGCTTGATTTCTTCTTTGATCATTTTTTCGCTATATTTCCATCTTCTCTACCTCACTATTGTGTCGTTTGGGCTGTTTTGCTGTGTACCCAGTTACAGCAAGAAGAGTTATAGCCAATTCTGCTAACATGCTACTGAGACCGAGCATCACGCTAAGTCTCTACTCAGCACTTTTATACGGCCTGAATTCATACACCAGCTGAATCAATGAGCTCAAGTTTTCAATGAAATTACAGATTACAATACAATTTGTAAGCAGTAATAAGCATTTTTATTAACTCATTAGAAAATAAATCGGGTATAGCATCTTTAAAGAAAGTTCAGTCACTTGGCATGTGTGATTGGTTGCTCTTTGGCCTGCCAGCAGAGGGAGCAGGGGGGCGGAGGCCTGCTCTGGTAGGATTATGTCAGAGTGTTCCTCAGAGTGATGGGGGATGGGATTGGGAAAACAAATAATCTCCCTGTCAATACGTCTAATACTGCTGCCATTCACAGTTTTGGGCTCTGTTAATTTGCCTGTTATACTGTGTGCATGCCTGTTGAAACACAAGTTAATAAAACAATAACCACACAGCAAAACATCTCTCTCCTGGTTCAAGTTCTTTGGGACGTGTGGTTTGTTTAAAAAAAACATTTTAAGATTTCTAAAAACCTTTATGATAAGTATTTCATGCTTTCGTACTCCAAGTCTGCTCGCTTCTAATACACTAAAGCAAGTTCAAATTGTAATGATACAGTTATGATTATACAGTAGCAGTCAGGGTGTACATCAGAGTGATTAAAGCAATTTCAATTCAAATGTCTAAACCTTTTTTTACTCTGGAGGTCACTGTGTGGAACCTGGAGACCCACCTCTGCTGCAGCAGCCGCTGCATACCTCCAAATCAGGAATTCAACAAATCATAGAATGTTTTCGAACCGGTGAGAATTCATTTTGGTTTTCTTAACTTTTTAAAAATCACATTTAGTGAAAATTACATTGTTTTGTTAAATCAGTGTAATCAACTCTGGAGAACCATAAACATTAATTCAAGAAATTAAACTACAGATGCACCAATATCAATACTGATATTGGGTGTCTGGTTGATAGCATAGGCTTTTGCTCGGGCTCGTACTCATACCATACAACCCGATGCCCACATTGTAAATTAACATTGTCGTGGCAATTTTCTGTTAAAACAATTGCTAGAATGTTTAATTTTTAAAGGATTTTATTTTTGTTGAAATGAGAAATAAAACATTTTGAATTTCAGTTGTATTAGTTTTATGAATTTCCAGGGATAACACAATGCAGTACTTGTACTTGTATAGGTGCATCCCTGATACAAACTATTCCACCATTATTCATGCAGTTCTAAAGTTAAATCTTGGTCATAAATGTTGGAAAAAAATAAAAAATAAATGTGGTGTATTTTTTTCAGGCACAAGCCAGCTGAAGAACATGCTGCTGAAGGAGGTGGACACCATCTTTGAATGTAAACTATGCCGTAGTCTGTTCAGAGGTCTTCCCAATCTCATCACCCACAAAGAGTACTACTGCCTATCCCGGCTGCCTGACGCTGACGGTCAGTGCACTGCCCACACACATGACGTGCAGGATTACTTTGTAATGTTGAATTCACTTTTTAAATCACAGCCTGATGGTGAAATTACCTAATTAGTTTAGCAGAGACGGTAGCAGAGATGATATTAAGTATGCTGTTGATGAAGCATGTGCTCCTGACTTGGCTTGAGCAAAGGAGTGTCATACATTAGTGTGCTCTCAGCTGATTGGTCCATGTGGCAGTTTCTTTTGCATAATTATTTTTTAAGATTGTTGTTTGGGGCGTTCTTTAACATAACTGGTCCTCCATGATTCCTTCTTCAGATTTGTGAGGGCCTGGTGAAAGCAACGATATCAGTAGCAGTAGAAACAAAAGTGCGATTCTCCTTTTTGTCCCTTATCCAACACTATATTTCAAGATGGCGCATTTACATGGAGAGCACTCCTCTCTCATGGACATTTATACGTTGAATTCTAAGCCTATGAAAACAATTACAAAAACATGGTGGAGTTAAATATTCTTAAAAAGGTCACATTTGTTTTTAGTTAACATGTTTTTTCACATGGAGCAACTGTAAAAATTACACAGGGTGGCTTTAATGTTGAATTTATTGATATTGTCTCACAGTTTGGTTAAATGGACTCATGTTGCAGGTGGCGATGGAGACAAACAGGCTTTAGCCATGAAGGACCTTGTGGAGGCCATCTATCCCAGAGCTGAACGTCCAGACTTTGTGGTTCGATTGGAGCCAATTCAGACCTCCTCTAAGGCAGTGTTTCAGTACCTCACCACAGAGGAAGAGATGACTCGCTATCCCTCAAGGACGCCCAGGTAAAATGTTGATTTTACTGTAAATTATGGTATTTCAGCAACTTTTGTTCAAAGTTATCCAACTAATACTTTCTAGTTTAGTTCTGGTCAGTGTTTCCTAGATTAATGAATGTTCCATGTAATGTACCATTAATTTATTCTAAATACCCTTAATATAGAGAAAGGCCAGGCTCCTTTTGTGGCACCGGCACCTGCCACAGCTGATCAGTGGCATGTACACAACAAATGATGAGATGCGACAAATCCGTCTGGAGATCTTAGATATTTATATATCCAAAGCGCTGGACCCAGAGCAGAGAGGACACATGCAGGAGCTGTACTAGTTCCAGTATGTGTGTGTTCCCTCTGCTGTGCTAGACCGCAGATGTGTGCGTGGTTCTGATGAGTGCATAATGTAAATAAGAAAATTCATCTGCATTTTTACTCAAACACACTCAAATTATTGAAAGATTCAGGGACAACATGTTTCACATGGTTAAAGTAGTTTTTTCTGTTCAGTCCTCTTCTGTCGCTTGTTTGAAATCTGCCCAGGACACATCCAGACCTAGCCTGGCCTTAGCCATCCGTACACTCATATCAATCATCATTTCACTGCATGTAGCGTCTGGGTCTGGTCCCTGGGTTTACGATTACATTGGTTGAATTCCTTCCGACCAATCAGCGAGCGCATGAGGCGGGTGCTGTAGTTAGATGTGGGGACGTCAAGAGTTTGCGTTGAGCGGTTGTAGTTTGGCAATGGCGAAGAATGCAACAGTGAAGTATTCCGGTCTGGTTTTATGAAGAAATTGTAGCCCGAGCAAGAGGAAAGTTTAGCAAATGTAATTGCTGGCAAAGATTGTGGTGCTACTCCCCACGAGCTCCGTTAGTGGCAAAGGATATGGCTAGGCTAAATGCTAAGTCAACTCACGTGGGCGCAGGGGTCTTGGGTCGGCGGGATTGTTTTTAACCAAACTGTAAAGCACTTTGTGTTGCATCTTTTGTATGAAAAGCGCTTTATAAATACAATTTGATTGATTGATTGATTGATTGATAACAAATGTCACGGTAAACTCAGATCCAATCGTTTCCATCTGCAAAAGGAGTTAAGCCCTCCCACCTGTTCATGGAGCTCAATGGAGCAAACGTTAAGGTTCAGGTTTAAGTATTAACCTTGGAATTGGGGGTTGCCCTCAGTGCCAGAGAGAGTCCAGTGGCGTGGGAGGGACAATCCATGGAGAGTGTGGACACTAACCAGCCAAGTCAACTGGTCGAGACGGAGAGTCGACGGAGCCCCAGTCCACCCCCTGTGGAAAAGGTGGAGCCTTCTGAAGAAATACCTGCACCCCCTCCGGCTGAAGAAGAGGAGTCCAACAGTGGGGTAATTACACAAAATATGTTAAATGTAAAGGACTGATGTAATATTCTGTTGTTACTTTTTTATTAATGATATTAACAATCATCACAAGAAGCGCACTGCCAAAAAGCTAAAGCAAATTACAATTTACCCCTGATCTCTGTCATCAACACATCTCTTTTAATTAACGCACTGCAGTCATGCGACAGTAACAGTGTAAGTTGCTGAAAACTAAGTTAAGCCTAGCCTGGCCTTAGCCATCCATACACTCAGGTCAATCATCATTTCCCTGCATTTAACGTCTGGGTCTGGTCCCTGTGTTTGCGATTACATTGGTTGAATCCCATCCGACCAATCAGCGAGTGCGGGAGGCGGGTGTTGTAGCTAGTTGTGAGTGACGTCAAGAGTTTGCGCCAAACGGGCATGTTGTAGTTTGGTAATAGCGAAGAATGCGATAGTAAAGTATTCTGTTCTGGTTCTATCACGAAATTGAAGCCGAAGCAAGAGAAATGTTTAGCAAATGTAATTGCTGACAAAAATTGTGGCGCTACTCCCCGTGGGCTCCATTTGCAGCAAAGGAGATGGCTAGGCTAAATGCTAACGACACACTCAGGGGCATTACATGCATCACAGTAAACTCAAATCCAATCGTTTCAATCTGCAAAAGGAGTTAACCCCCCCACCTGTTAAAGAAGCTCAATGGAGCACATCCAGACCTTAGTACAAAATTTAATTTTTTCTATGGTGTGGTACGACCAGGCTAAGTTAAGCCCACTGTTCAGGCGAAAGAATGGAAACAGAACAGTAAGTTCATTCTTACACTTTTTTATTTTAAATGATAAAATTAGATGACTTTTTTCCTATACCTTGTTTCTATATCAGGGGTCTCCAACCTGTGGCTCGGGAGCTACCAGTAGCTCGCCAACCCCTTTCAGGAGGGCTGGCGAGAAGCAAAACCCAGCACAGCTGACACACCAGGCTCTCTGACCAATTGCCACAAGTGGTAGGGGAAACCAGAGCACTCGAAGGAAGCCTACGCAGATACAGGGATAAATGCAAACTCTACTAATAAAGGCCCTGTGCCACCATAAAAGCCACCAAATTTTGTCAATGTGACCTAGACAGCAGAGGTCTCTTTCTCCTTCTTATAATTATGACCTTATTTTGTGATGAAAAGGGTTATGTTTAAGGTTAGTATGTGACATATTGGTATTGCACACAGTTATAACAAGAAGGCTTTTGAGAAAAACGTTTACATTGATCTGGTGAAACCTTTAAATTAAATGTTCTAATAGTATTCTTTTCTTCTGTAGGTTGAGGATGTGACAATCTCTTGCTGTCTGTGCGGTCAGGACTTTAACTCACGCCGCAGCATCAGGCGTCACTGTCGTAAAATGCACCAGACCAAACTTGAGGAGCTCCGTAAATACACCGAAACACGCACTGTTCCCACAAGTCTCCTCTCCATGGTGAAAGGTATTTTTCACATTTTTCTTCTATTAAAGAGCCCATTAAATTCCCAGGTTCATCAAAAACAATGTTTTGTCAGTCTATCTCAGGTTGTCTATGATTTCCGTAGTTGCTCTCTAGCAGGTGCGGAGTAAGTGTCCAAAAAGTGCCACAAGATTTATGTTTATTTATTCTTCTTCCTATCTATTCTAATCTATTTAAAAAACGTAATACACACATAATGTATTTTAGAGATGCACAATAACTCTTTTTTTCAAAACCAATACGAGTATCTTAATTTAAGTACTTGCTGATACCGAGTGGCACGAACGGTGTTCTGGTGGTGAGTGTTCCATGAGATGAGTACACACCTATGGTATCAACCCGATATCCGATACCAGTATCTATGCATCCCTAATGTATTAAAACCTAATAAAATTGTGTAATATAACGTAAAAAATAATTAATATTTATATCTCAAAAGGAAATACACATAATGATAAATGATTTCAGAATTATTTGTTAACGTTTTCATGAAATATTTTTTTTTAATGCACACAAAAAACGGTTGCGGCAAACCCGGAAGTAGCTATTATCATTAATTGCACATTATAGGACACATCTGCAGAGGATCTGATTATGGATATAGGTTCAGTATATAAATGGGTATCTCAGCGCAGATGTTCAGAATTCTTTGTTCAGTTTTCATGTAGCTCCAGAGCCTAATAGAGGCTTGATTCGGAGGCTCAGCGAAAACAAACAACTGAGCATGAGCAGCTACGAGCATCAGCGCAATGATTGACACTTGGTTGGTTAACGTGGACGGCATCGTGGATTCTGAGCTATAGCTAAGAGAAGGGAAGGCGGGACTAACCCGTTTTATTAGAATTAATAAAATGACTTATTTTATATCAACATTTAAGGCCAGGAGGTCAATTTACTACAATTCTTAAAATTTTTAATTAATTTAGAGTTACATACTATCACTTTAAAGGTCTTATAATTCACTTTTGCTTAATTTTTCACAGTCCATCCACAGCACATAATAATAATTTGTGTAATACACCAGACAACACTCAAAAGCTGATGTCACATCTATGCAAACGCTTCAAACGATCTGTGCTCCTTCCCCCGTGAGCCGCCTTCCCCCACCTGCGTTGTAGCCTAACACTGACTTTGAAAACACCATTACATTTTTCAGATATAAAAACACTCAACTTACACCAGTACCTAGTATTTTCATACCAGAGAAACTTTTTCAAACTATGACAATCCGCCACATAGAGCCTAGAGCCCCTCCACAATTGGACCCTAATTATTTGATTTGACACAAATTTCAAAGGCACATCCCCGTGAATAGACATTTTTATTTAATTTATCTCCAAGTTGATGTGATGCTAACACTTTTAGTCACTGACAATAGAAAACGGCATAGAGTTGAATACATACTGTGGTAGAAGCGTGCCATATGCTGGGAAAGGCTGTGTGCGGTGATTTGCTGTTTTGGTTTATATCAATCACCTTCTGGAGGCGGACTTCTACAGCTTGAGCTACAGTACGTGTGAAAGTGTACTCTGTAACAAAGTGAATCAAGTCGTTTTTGTGCCTCTCGAGAATGAAAGAAAAATACTGCTCTCTTAACTAAAGCTTGAGAGAATCAATGAAAAAAACACTCTGGACATGTGTATGAAGGCCAAATAGAACTGTAAGATAAAGGTTAATAAGCGTAATATGGGACCTTTTAATGACTGTTGAAAAAAAAAAAACCTGTTGTTCTGAGTAGCGTCTAAGATCAAAATAATGCATAACATTTTTCATTGTTTGTGTAAGGTCGGCAACGGACTGTCTCAACACCCACTGGGAAGTCCTGTCCGGTTTGCTTGAAAACTTTTGCAACAAAAGCCAATGTTAGGCGACACTTTGATGAAGTTCATCGGGGACTACGCAGAGATAACATGGCTCTCGGCATTCCCACAAAACCAGATCAACCCTTCATTCTAGACGAATCAGCCACCAACCGGAGTAACACATCCTCTCCTGCCAAAGCTGTGAGCTCCAAACCTTCTTCGCCAAGCCAGGCCAAGCCCCAAAGCACCCCGAACACGCAGAGCAGCCAGAGCAGCTCCATGTCCTGCCGCTGCTCTCTCTGCAAGAGAACATACAGTTCACAGGTCAGTTTGCACAAAATAAAGATGTTAGTGAGTAGGTAAACTTTATTTCACTGATAAAATTCACAAAACTCTTCACATGGTATTATACCACCAGAATGCAATTAAAATATAACAATACTTCTGGTAATCTTTTTATGCTTTGGAAATGGGACCAGTCATAAAAATTCTGGCCACAAGCATTTTGCTTTGTCTATAGACTTAACAGCAACCTTACAAACTGTTTTTTTTATAATGACAGTTTTGACGATACTCTGCAGCAATTATCAGATGTCTCATGTTACTTTCTCTTATTGTTTTTTCAGCTGATGTTAAAGAGACACATGCGAATCGTCCATAAAATTTACAGTTCGAAGAATCGAAACAGCGGCTCCACAACAGCTAATGCAGACACAAGTCCTCCTCCTGTCACAAGCCCCAGTCTGGAGACTTCTACGGGTACTAATAATGTCAAGGTGAAACAGGAGACAATCGAGCCTTCTGATGAGGAAGGTCAAGATGAACATGAAGAGGCAGAAGAGGAGGAGGAAGAGGAGGAAGGAGTTGATGTTGACAGCAGCCCTCCCCCATCTCCAAGCGACAGCACGGGGACAGCCAAGAGTGCCCACACAAAGGCCGTCAAGGTTAAAGAGGAGGAGACCTCTCCAAGTCAGAAGAGCGGCGTATCCATCCCTCCAATTGTCAAACACAATGCACTCTCTGTTGGATTTGACTTTAAGCAACTTTTCTGCAAGCTCTGCAAGAGACAGTTTAGCTCGCGCCAGAACCTTTCCAAGCACATCGAACTCCATACCGATGGCACAGACATTTTCATAAAGTTTTATCGCTGCCCCCTCTGCAGCTACGAGTCTCGCCGCAAACGGGATGTGCTCCGGCATGTGACTGTCGTGCACAAGAAGTCATCGTCCTACTTGGCCAAGATCATGCCCAAACTGGAGAGTCGCGCCGTGAAGAAGCAGGCTGAGGACGTGCTTTCCAGTAACAGCACTCCCAACAAGAGGACCGAAATCAAAGAGGAGGTCAACGGGCGCCACTACAGATCACCCTCTCCACTCTCCAGGCGGCAGGAGGGCTCTTTGTCTGCCTCCTCTTCCTCTGCCCACCATTCAACTCCTCGAAAACAGCAGGAGCACTCCAGCGGGAGCTCATCTGCTCCAGCCACACGCAAATGCCAGCCACGGCCCGTTAGCCCGCCCATGACCCGCCACTCACACCAGCGCGCCTCCTCCATCTCCCCGCACATTCGCCGCCAGGACACCCAGGATGAGAGCGGCACGGCAGGATCCACAGAGGTCCGAGTCACCAAGAACTTCTCCCTTCACGCCTGCGATCAGTGTGGACGCGCTTTTGCCAAGAAGGTACGGGCTTTGAACTGTAACTACTACTGAAACCTCACATAGTATTTAGTATAATATAAAAAATTACTTGTTGTATAATACAAAAGTTACTTAATGGCTTAACATAACTTGAGTACCATTATCTTCCAAAATCTGTCTCCCAAGCAAAACTACTCTTTTATCTACTAAAGCTGGCTACAGACTAGGATTTCCAGCCCCTCCACAAGTTCAGGGAGGCGGGGCCTGTCTAATATTTCTCGTTGACGTTTTATCATTATGTCTGTGAGGTTAGTGAATTCTGTCACACTCGCAGAGACAAAACTTCTGCCACAGCCAGCAATGGTAACAGATGTGAAACTGTAGCGCATATGATTAACTAGATTTATTAGCAAGAAGATCAGAAGATTAGAACCATATTTAATTTAGACACAGCATGCTGACCACTTCAACCACCTGTTAAAGCAGGAATTTATTTTGAATGTATGCACACGCATGCACGCACACACACCAGATGAATCCCTTCACCAGGTTAGATTCAGACAGAGCTTGGTCCATACAGCGTCCTGAAGTCCACTGCCACAGGTGTCCAGTTCACTTGTGTCTGAATGAAACCGTTTTTGAGTGTCACTGTTCTACTGTTCTACCAAGTGACATGTGTAGGGTGCAGTTTTCTTCATCCTTATTTGTTCGACTGAAAACACCACTGATAAAACACCTTATTTACAGGTGTAAACAAATGTTTGTCCAGATTTGGTCAAGCAAATTTAACTACCTTTTTAAATAAGCCTTTAATATTTTTAGTTTTGATTCCTATTGTATTTAAATTAGATTTAAGGACTGGGAAGGTAGTAGGTGTATTTTTTGAATTTGGATGCAGACATGTTCTTATTACAGTGGGGTCTCCAACCTGTGGCATGGGAGCTACCAGTTGCTCACCAGCTCCTTTTAGGTAACTCGCCAAAGGGTTTAGATTGTTGTTGTAATTATTTGATAGATTTTTTTATTGAACTGAAAAAAAGGATCAGGGGGTCTCCAACCGAAAAAAGCTTGGAGACCCCCTGTATTACAGGAATCGGGAGTGAAGCGTGTGGACTGTGAGACAGAAACACAGACATAAGGATAATCTGAAAACTGTTACTGTGTCACAACTCATGTTCTCACATGACAATTTCCTGACTGTAGTCAGCCTAAAATTGTTTGTTTTCTCATATTCAGGTTTTCCTGGAGTCTCACAAACTAAGTCATCGAAACGCACCTGCAGCTGAGGCCACCCGAAAGAAAGGAGTAAACACTCGCTCCAGGTCTTTGATCTGGTAAAACCCAGAGTAAGTTTGAACATATGTTTTTGTTCATTTAAACTGGTAATGCATTAGAAAGCACACAGCTCCTGTCTTCACATGCTGCAAAATTTGTCAAAATTGAGGATACATACTTCCTTTTTTTCATTCTGTCTTTGCCAACAGGTCACTCGGGAGCATGTGCACAACTGGAGCATATTGGAGATAAAACAAAACCATTCACTGGAGTTGACATTTCATAAATCCTCCTGTGATGCTGCCCAAGTGAAATGCACAATCTGTCTACATGGAGGCGCTGCTATACAAGGAGAGGTGTTGGGGTTTTTGTATATAATATTATATATCTGTATTCCTTCCTATGCTTTGTAAGTGTATATCCATGTACACCATTAGGGAAAGGATGAAAGGACTGAATGTTTAAGGAGGGTAATACTGACCATTACAAATCAGTGCAAACTTGTTGATATTTTCTCTACTGTAGCATACTGAAGTTTAACAAAGTGATTTCCAACTTTTTCATTCCCTTTTTTCTCTCTGCTATTGTCTTGTCTGTTTTAAATCACTGGTGAAAGTGATATCAGTGTCTTATCTAACCGAAGCCATACCAAAAACACCACAGCGCTCCTGCCTTACCTATTTTCACCTACAATGAACAGTACCTGCCTTACAGTCACATACCTGGTCGCATCAAGTGGAAGCTAAATCAGTCAACATAAGCGACTGGCCATTGATTGTTTACTCATATATGTTTATTGTTCCAGATTTTTAGACAATTTTGTATGTAAATAAATTCAAAAGAGCAGATAGTTTTACCTTAACCCTAACTAATTGAATGCATCTCGTAGACGTAGAACATGCATCTTAAGGGAGCAGAACTGGTTATTTTAGTTTGTTATAGCTCTAAATATAAACTTGGTATAAATAGACCCTTCAACAAAGTACATTTTTTTATCCAATTGAAAAGGTCTAATTTACAATATACACTTTGGGGCTGTATGTTTCAGAACGCTTTTTAATTTTCCATAATATTATTCCCATGAATTATTTTGTGGGTCCAGACATACTTTGGTTCTTAAAAACGTAAAAACGATATAATTTTTTATTCTGCAAACCTTTGTTATTCAATGGACCAACACATTTCCAGTGGATTGTCTTTGTTTTTGATTCTATTTGTGGTCTTTTAAGTCAAGGGGCCACTATTGACCATGTGTCCTGTAAAACAGTGGTTCCCGACTTTTGTTTTTATCCCTATGTATCCCCTAGCCTGTCTGTGGGGGAAAGTTGGTTTACAGCATTTTTTGCCTTTTTGTTTTCCATATTTTTTTAGCCTGTGTTACATATGTCAGTATTTTGACCAAAAACTACTTTTATTTAACTTATAGATTCTTCGGAACAAAATGAGTACATGCTAAAACTGGAGCAAAAGTAACAAAGGCTTGTTATTGCAGACTGACTGATCAAGTTTTGTTTTAATGTGTTTTGTGGCCCCCAGTAAGGTAAAAAAGTATGGATAAGTTTGCATATTTTGTGAATGGTGGTAGAGTGGAGGAGTGACCAAATGTAGATACATGTCTTATGAAATGAAAAGAGCTGAGAAGACCAAACTTTATTTTTCTATTGGACATTCACAAATATGTATATACTTGTCAAAGTGTAGTTATTCACAGTATCTTTGTTTGTTTAGACATTTCTGACTACTTCTGTTGACACTGAAGTAAATGTGATCCATTTAGTTCACCGCTTTATATTATGTTGTCTGTTATAAGTATAAGTTATAAGTAGGAAGGAACATTTGTTAACTTAGGAACAAATGAAGACATTGTTATTTTGTAACCTGTTATATACTGTAGCTCACCTTACCTTGAAGAGCCTTGCCGATGTGACACGAATGTTACCAACAGCAAAATAAACTCTACTTACAGAGACTTGTGGTCATTTCTCTAGGAAATTCATTGATTAACTGTCATATAGCCAACATTTAATGCCTGAATTATATTTAAATGTGTGTGATGGAACATTTTGGTAGAAGAGGTGAAGAGGCAGCGCACCATGCTTGGGAAAAAAAGTTTTAAGCACTGGATTTGTATAGGACAAAATTGTCTTAAGTCTAGTATTATTATTATTATTTTAAAAGCATGAGAAACTCATGGTTTTTGTTTAATACATGTTACATCTCAGTAGCCAGGCGAGTCATTTGTTTCACATTTTTTGAACCCTGGGGTCGCTCTTGATTCACCTACTTTGGACCAACTTCCACACTTAAAACACAAAAGTAAAATCCATGTAACTAGTTACTCGTTCTCATAACAATTTGGTATCATAACTTTTCACATGTATGCATTTTTTGGCCTCGTTCACATTTTCAAATCAGTTTTTCAGACAGAAATAGAGTGAAAGTGAAATAGAGAACCAGCCTCTTTCAATCCAATCTTTTTTTCTTTATATAGCACATTTTATAAAACTAGTTTCCAAAGTGCGCACAGATATAAAATACATTCAAATATATAGGTCTTCCAGCGTTATAAAGAGACTAAATAAAACATTAAGATACATTCAGATCAGATGTATAGAAAGAAAAAAAAAAAAACAATGGTATATACTGTATACATAAAACAATTCAATAAATATAATAATACAAAAGCTAGGTACCTTTCCCTCTTCATGGTTTTGTGATGTACTTCAGATCTATGCATGTACATGTATATGTTAATCAATGTGTCAGCAAGTGCTGGAAATGGAACCGTAGCTTAATTGAATCCATAGTCCTAAGGCAGGTATAGAAAAACTACATCTGTAACGTCGCAAGGGGGCGATATTTGCTCTTAGCTTCTTCAAAGCTGCCCTTTCATGAGGATGATCCGGCGGGAATTAGACAGCAGATGACGCAGACTGGGTCTCTTTACAAACATAAAATACTCTGTGATAATTCTGGGGTGGGGACTGGGATATTTCACACCGTTGTTTGATTGTGGATAATTATAATAAGAAAATATTCAACAACAAAAAACCCTGATTTGAAGTTTCCATCGACCAGTTCTCCATAATGAGTATGGCCCCTTTCACATTTTGTGGTAGTTGTGGATGAGGTTCTGTATCCTCTCTGCTGGTAGAGCTGCCCATTCCATTTGTAATGCAGAAAATTCATGGGCCACCTAGACTATAAATGGCTTCACAATGTTTCCTTCACCGTGTGTGGAGTGACAGTATACAAATGGCAGAAATTGTATTGTATAGCAATTTGCGACATTGTCTGTGAAAGGTGCTGTATAAATATAGATGTCTCACTTACTATGGTTGAACAAAAAATGGTGCTTTCATATCTAATCTCCAAAACAATATTTTTTTTTTTACCCCGGTGTGTACACTTTCAAGCACAACTGTAAATGATAATTGAAATGTGAAATGTGGAAATCATTCCTAATCCACTGTATAAGGATGAGTCCTTTAGTCTTAACACCAGTCATTTTGACCCCAATGCATCAAGCGCCTGGTGCATTCACTGCCTGTTGGATTGATAGATATCTACTTTATTGATCCCTGTAGGAGAAATTCAGGTGTCCAACAGCAGAAGACTCATCCAGGTCTGTTGTACAGTCTGACAGCCGAAGGAACAAAGGATCCCTTGAAACAATCCGTTCAGCAGGGAGCCCAAACAGTACCCTGTGGTGCTCCTGTATTGCTCACAGCAGTCCTGAACATGCTCTTCCCTTACCTGACACACTGTGACCGCACAGTGAGGTCCCTCAGTAAGAGAGGTTGGATGGTGTTGAATGCGCTGGAGAAGTCGAAGAACAGAGGAGATCTGTTTATGAGAATATTGTCTAACTTGAGTTTATTGCAAATATTCCTCCCAACAAATGTGCAGAATATGGCCCTTTTATTTACACAATTATCCCGCCAGACAAACACTATTCCTTCCTTAAACTGGTGAATTTATTCTGTTAGATATGAGAAGTGTTCTACCAGACAATAGTAAAAGGTAATAACATCGCTAACCTACCATTGTCTGGTGTAGAAGAATCCAATACTTTTCATTACACAATACAGCTTTTAAAATGTAGTTTTTATTATATTCCGTTGCATGGTCTAGTTTAGTGTGTTCAGAATACTTTGAACACTTATTTTGTTAAAACAACGGAGTAAAATAAAATGGTTTATGCATAATTGTATGTATTTTCTGTCACTGATAGGTATAAACAGGTAAATTGCGTTCCTCCTTCTGCCTACTCTGCTCTGCCTTCTAAGCCCTCCTCCCTCCAGATGTCTTCAGCTGGTCTCGCTCCCTGAGTCTTTGTTTACTCCTCCGTCGAAGCCTTTTCAGGTCTTTTGGAGTCCACTCTTGAAGAGCTTCCATGACTCTGTGGCATCAGCCTCTTGTACGTTTTGGTCTGCTGGAGCAGCAGCATCACAGAGAGGGACAGGAAGAAGCTGGACAAGGTCATCAGGAAGTCCAGCTCAGTCTTGGGCTGTTCCCTGGACACAGCGCAGCAGGTAAGTATAGTAAGTAAGTAATGTTCATTTTTATAGTGCACTTTACGGACCAAGGTCACCCAAAGTGCTTCATAATGTTCAGAGTTCAGAGGTGGGAGACTGTAGCTCCAGTTCGTGGCTCGAACCCACGACTGGAGCTTGTCGTGGGTCACCTGCTCCCACTGATGTTTGCTGTCATTGTGTCCCTGGGCAAGACACTTAACCCCACATTGCCTGAAGCCCCCGCTGAAATATTAAGGCCATCTTGTCGATGACGTCGAAGCCATCATCCTGTGGACCCACCACCTGCATGAAGATCAGCGGGACTGGTGCTGTGAGACTTGGGTGGCAGCTCTGATTGCCACCCTCCTGACTCAGAAATGGAATAATAAAGGGGTAGTAAATGACATGACATGACATGGTTTTATTCAGCAAGAGACCTCTGTGAAGGAGTTCCCCTACTCTGCAGAGAAAATCCTTCATTTCGACCACTTGTAACCTTGTCAGCCAAGACAGTCCCACAACATCCCTCCTCCTTTTCGAAATGTG